GGTTGTTGGCGATGGGCGTTTAGGAGGAGATGGCATGTCTAGCGCGACGTTTTGGGGACTGGGGCGTTGATCATCGAATCTGTTTTGACTTTCCAAATGACATCGATGACCTGTGCAATGTTCCCGTTGTGAATTAGGGGCATGCGCAATCGCGTGTTGCCGTCGGGTGCTTCAATTTGAGTAGCTGCCCAACCCCATAAAATTTACTTCACTAGAGCGACATGCAAACTCCGGCGATGAACTGACCCAATCGCGGCTCTTCAGCGGCTTCGCAGGTTAGGTAGGCTTAAGTGCGGGATATCCAATCGGGGCCAGTCTGGAAAATGGCCGGTGAGCTCCGGGTAGCGGAGCCCGGGGCGGGACAGCGGTGTTGGATAAGTGGGGCAAGATCGGTGGCCGTTTTGGCTCTCCGGGCGCGCAACTCCCTTTCCAGTGTGAGACCCAGATGATCGGTGATGCCTGTAAGAAAGCTGTAAGGCAGGCTTAATTGTTCCAACAGACTACAAAATAACACTGCCTAGTTACTGAACATCCGAGGAGCAGCACTATCATTTAGGGGCTATTGAGTCTCGCACCCGTGCCAGTGAACTGACTAGATGAGGATGCCTTCCCCTACCACTCAGAAGCACGAAAGAGTGAAGCTGTCTTTCGGGTGTGTGCAATACGTCCCATTTATTCGGTGATGCGTTTCATGCAATGAGAATCCAAGGCACAGTTGTTTCCAAATCGCAAGACCACAGTCACATCTGCCTGAATCAGAGACTGGCATTTCCATCTCAATATGAAATCGCTGTTTGCCTTGTGATTGGCGTAGAACAGAAGGACTTCGCAGCCAAGTGGGCTCCAAGGGGCTAGGACTATTGGCTAAGCTTGGATTTGTGCGACATTGCGGACCGTCGTGCAGGATGCTTAAGGCTGGCAGACATTGAGTGTAAATCGCCATTGCTGAGACGAGATATTAAAAGCACTCGTCATCCCCAAAAGCTTTCAATGCTGTTTGCACAGCAGCCACTCCCCAGTGGTCGCTCCCGAAACAAATGATGAGAAAACCCTCCCGGCGATGCTCATCACAAACGTAGCGCCGCCGGCCGCTGCACCAGCTCTAAAGCCAGCGGCCCCAGCGAGACTCGTCAAATCCTGCGGTAGAAATGTCCGGTTCTAGCCGCCCAACACCTAAGCAGGCTGGTTAGCTATTATCCTTATGTAACAAGAGATTCATATTCAACTTAGAAGCAAAATGTAGAACATGGTCCTATCAATATAGCTGAACTAATAGTAGCCAGGCATGTGAAAGATTGTATTAATGCAACATACTAATAAATAGAACCCCCACTAACGCCTCATAGTATTGTAAAATCTCTCTCGAAAGAGCTTTTCTCGTGAAATCATCCCATAGTATGAATCAGGAAAGACTGGTCCCTGGCCATCTGGTTTTGTAATAGAGCGCCGGTAGCGACAGAAAAAACAGAAAAACCCCCAAACAATACGGCACGGCCATGGCCAGTCAAGCCTTTTGGTCTGGCTGATCCTGGCCCTGGCCCACAAGGCGCTCTTTAGCTTTCGATGCCTCTTCTTGAACTTTCGATACCTCTGCCTCGACTTTCTTCTTGGCCTGCTTCACGGTAGAGGTAAGGGAAGGCAGCGTATCGCCATCATTGCCGTATCCCTGGACGAGCAGAATCAGCGGCGTGTTACTTAATACATCATACAACTGTACAGCGGACTTACTTTCTTTTCATCAGATCCACCATGGTCTTTTTGGCTGGGCATTCTCAAATCTTGAGCAACAGTGGTCTTTGATGGTTTTATAACAGAAGTATCAAATGTCACAAGGCTGATTGTAGACCATACACACCCCATGTATCAGTGTTGAACAGAGAATAAGCTTGAACATATACGCTCTTTATAAGTGTCCAGGCTCACGTAGCATCTTACCGTCCAACGTCATTGTATAGCCCGACGGAGGAGCTCTCCGGCGTCAGCGAAAGTCTCGGGGACACCATCACTAATGACACAGTGGGCAGCCCTGCACTAATGATGGTTATCCAGCCGTTGTGGCAAGGATGACTAGACAACGGCCGTCGTCTCGACCAAGAAAGCGAGACCAGATCCTTCTTGAGTTGTTCCAGGTATGGCTCAACATCGTCAATACAACTTATCGTTTTCTTTCAGACTGTTTGGGCAGAAGGTTTACGTGTACGTGGGTCGTAGTCCCAGACAGATATCGACAGAGGTAGCATAATGTAGAATGTTGTTAAAGTTCATGAACAATCCTTTGAACACAAAGGCATGTCATTGTGACATATATTGAGGTTGAGTTTTATCGGTGCGAGAGAGCCATCTAATTATAAAGAACATTCTGGATTGATTTCATGACTGCGCATGGTAATAGAGTTTACTACACTTCCCTCCTACGTACTACCCCACCGGCACCCGCTGTTAGTGCCGCGCTGGGCCCGCCAAACTAGCATTAACACCACCTAATCCATCCCACACGACCAGAACCCTCGCGCGCAATGGCCTCAGAGGCATAATACCAGAGGTATCATTACCGATAGCTTTGGCTTTGTGCCACAGCTGGTTACCCTAATTCGCTCATGATAACTTAGGCTACCTCAGTGAGAAATCAGTTCGCGAATTGGGCCGCTAATGATCATCCGGACACTTTGTATTACTGCAGAGAGCACTTAAGTGACCGTTGGTGAAATTTGGACGAACTGCCCAAGTGTCTCAAGCTTGGACAAATCGCTCCGAGCACTATGGACAGCTGCGTCAACTATTTGAGGGTTACACAGAATGCAGAATGATGACGTACATATAGTTTCGATATGCTTCTCTGAGGAAAGCAGTGACGGGCACTTTGCCACCATATACTGACGTGAAATTCGGTTGAAACCCAATTCAGAAGTTCTTCGATGTCACCCGTAGGGAGAATACCTCGAGATAGCCACCTGAGTGCAAATGTTTGACCGTAGTCGGGAGCGGCCACCAATGTTTTTTTAAAAGCTTATTAGGATCGCCAACAACCTTAAGCTCTCAGCAATCCATGTGGTGGGCCATTATCAGGAAATCCATTGTGCTTGGAGGATGTTCTTGTTCGCAAGCTGTGATATGGCGATATGCTTCCGATTGCTACGACTATCCCTTTATGATGGAGCTACAAAAAGGTAGTGGCGTCTATGTTTGCACCTTCTTCCTGCATGTGGGCTGCTTGGGAGTACAAGTCATTTGTAGCTAAATACATTTGCAACTGCACCTTCCATTGGTCAATTGATGATCGGCTCGGGGCCCGTGACTGCCGACATCCAATCACATGAGGCCCCATTCAATGAACTCTCGCCGCCCTCACACATATATCACATGCACGCACACGCAATCATTGATACGCATCTCGCCTACTCCACCACACGCAGAATCCCAGCGAAGTTTCCATTAGTTTGGAGCGGGGATTGCGGCCGGGATTTGAGGCCGGGAATTGGGGCTGGGGAATGGTCAGGGGTTGGGACCGGGGTCTGGGCGGTGTTCGACAGCGGGAACACCCAAATATTCCAATTCCGTGACATCTCCAGGTATCTAGCTGGCGCCATAATCAGCCTTTCCTACACATGTACAAGTCGCGAAACACGGGGACAAGGGTGCTATACGCGACGGCTTAATGTTCAACGAGAGTCACCAACGTGCTTTTCTTGTGACATCACGCCCAGTAATAGATGGCCTAAGTCTGACTACTCTGTGTTACTGGCGTGGCGACATGCGGCCTTTGAAAGGAACTTGGAGAATGTACTTCCACGTCACAACCCGGCCGTTAACACGCTCGAGACAAGGGAGAAATTCCTCGACTTCCAGAGAATATTGTGAACAGTGATACGGAGCAGTTCTCCGAAGGTTTCAACCTTTCGGAGGTGAAGATGGCCTCCGCTACTCCTTCGCGCCTTTTCTCCAGAGATCTTGGACACCCGTTTCCTGAAGTTCCGCATGACCACGGAAAATGCATTTTTATGGTGGAACAAAAGCATGTTCAGAGGGCTGAAGAGCCTGCGACGCTTACATCCAACGCGATGCGGAACAATCACTTTTAGCGAAGTAGCCTACTTTCAAACAAGGTACCTCTTACGAGACTCACCACGTACACCTCCTGAATGGAAGAGAATAGATTATCAAGTATTTTCGACTTCTGACCATATGGGGATACCGCCACAACCATCTTGGAGCGAATTGTTACGTTGGCTGCAGAGCAACTCCGACCAAATCGAAGGCATATCATCAGAGGAGTCATCCAGGATCATCTCCGCGGACGACGAAGCGGCGGACGCAAGATGATTATTCCGTGGTATGAGCCAGACCATGTAAAACTTGCGATTTTAACACTACGTCACCTCAGCTTACGCGTCGATTTGTGTTGTTGTTGCAGTTCACATAGCAAAGGCGAGGTCTTACACTGGAAGACATTATTTCAGACGAATGTTCTTAAAATGATGATTTCCTGCTCTTAGACTGACATTCACGGTATTCGGTGTACTCATGTACTCACTTGGAAGCTAACTTAGGAAGTCCAAGTGTCGGAAACAACGGACATGGCGGTTGGGTTGGTAGTCAGACCATTATTCTGATTTGCTGACCATGACCGATTGGAACTGTTACGCTACTGTGTCCGTGATCTGCATGAATCATGACTTGGTTGGTAACGGTAGCCGGCACCAGTCTCACGGCCCTCGCATGAACTCCAAAAACCCCTTCACTTTCCATATCTGAAGTATGTAAAATCGAGATGTAAGGTAGATCGAAATGTAAGTTAGAATTTGGTTTACGTCTATGCTGACTGACGGCTTCCCAATGAACGTCAAACTATGACACTTACGTTCTCAAGGCCAAGCTCTATTCATCGGATGCAGATTGTGCAGTCCACCCTGTCCATGTTCCTCTGCGTTTTGTCAATGTGTCGGGAAGTATTATGCCTGATTAGACACAACACATCCTGTCAGAATCATCTATTACATGACTCATAGTCTAGACAAGATCCCATTTGTTCCCAGCATAGACAGATGATGGCGCGAAATCTCCTTGATGGAGGAGCACCCGGCAAGGGCCATAGTCGTCCTCAACTCTTGCTCCAGAATGTCGACTGCCAGCTTGACTCCCTCTTCTCCATTGTACTGTGGTATTGCATGTGAGTCAAATATGCTTCTCACACGTTTGTGCATCTAGGGGCGTTCTTACCGCAAGACCCCAAATGGGAATCCGCCCCACAAAGCAACAGTCGGCCCCAAGAGCTAAGGCTTTGAAAATGTCAGACCCACGACGGATGCCACCGTCAATTCCAATCTTGATTCTGCCTTTGGCAGCTTCGGCACATTCGGGCAGCACGTCGATAGTCGCAGCGGCGCCATCCAGCTGTCTCCCACCGTGATTGGAAACAATGATTCCATCGAGTCCGTATTTAATAGCAAGTAGTACATCCTCGCTGCAGTATACTGTCATAGGCTGCAATTAGTGTTGTATCTGTTGAGAAGTTTCACATGTACCTACTGCCTTTGAGCCAAACCTCGAGCGTGGTGTGAGACTTCACCCAGGGGATGATCGATTCCCAAGAATTGCTAGCATCCCGCCCAGGATTATGATGCGAACGAACGCCTCCCAAATTTGGCAAACACAGATTATCTGGTAGGGTCAGCTTGTTCCTGGTTTCGTTCAGACGTCGGCCAAGGACAGGTGCATCAACTGTCAGTATGAGTGCTCTATATCCCGCCTCTGTTCGTTGTTAGCTGTTGGACATGAATCCCTTGATCAGCTAGGCCCAAAAGATTGCTTACTCTCTGCCCGCTTCATCAAATCCAGTGGGACCGAGCGGTCTTTTGTGACGCTCAGTTGAAACATGTAAGGATTCGAGCTTTTTCCCTTCTCTTCTATGACATCCTCAAGCGAGGTGGTCGCATAAGTTGAAAGTCCCATAGGGATACCTTTGGCTGCGGCAGCTCTTGAAGTGCCCTTCTCAGCTTCATGATGAGCAAGACCGTGCATAGCAGCGGGTGCGAAAGCGAGCGGGAGAGTAATTTCGGACCCCAACATGGCAATCCTCGTGTCTACTGAGGCTACATCGACGAGAATGCGTTGACGAATTTTGTACTTGTCGAAAGCATGCTCGTTATCTCTGAGCCTACGTACCCGTTAGTAATTGAATTTGCCAAGAGGGAAAACTTTTGCAGTACGTGATCATATCCATCGCTCCTTCATTGAAATACTCTGAAGTTCATCTTAGCAGGTTCCAAAAATGCGCATCAGTTAATTCCTTGAATCCATACCTCGGGCGGTCTTGTCCAGCTTAGCGGAAGCTGCTCGCTTCAGCTCCGAGATGGTGAGGACTTCTTGTAATGATGAGTTCACCATGATGGAATTCTGTGACGCGTGTATCGTGCCCTTGCTTCAATTGAAAGTTGATATCGAGAACGGATAGCGCAGGTTCGTACACCTGCCGTCGGTTGCTATCAATCATCATCTTAGTGGAAGCCACAAACCTCGCACACCTTTCAGCAGGTACTATTTAATCTATCCAATAAGATTGCTTGCCCCGGAAATAATGGGTTCCTAAGTGTTGAGGGCAAGGTGAGGCCATCATGTCGGGTCAAACCGAGTATATTGTCAAACGACCCCACCCTGATAAGCGTGCAGATCAGTGTCAGTCGGGTCAACCCGAGTTGCTTTACACACACATGCCGCCAAACGGAACGACCCGCTGAGTCCATAGCAAAGCGGCTCTCAGTTTCCAGTTACAATCGACCATTGAGTCTGGCTGCGTGGTGCTCAATCTGCAATGTTGGTGAGGTGACTTGTCGGCATGTGGTATGCAATTTGGGCCATCCCATCTAAACAGCTGGATCTTATGAGCATAGGAGTAGTCTAATAACATGAGATTTTGACTTGGTGAATACACTTCTGAAACTTACGGGCCTCTTCTGGATACTACTCCAACACGCTTGGGGTTGTCAATCCTCCCACTGCGTCCTATCGTGTCCAAGATGAACACCAGTGGCAATCACAAGTCATGGGACGTTCCCGTAGACTTTGCTCGGAGGATGAAGGTGATTTGCATCGGTGCAGGAATGTCCGGGATCCTATGCGGGATACGATTCAAACAAAGGATTCCGAATTTAGACCTGGTCATCTATGAGAAGAATTCCGAGGTAGGCGGCGTTTGGCTTGAGAACAGGTAAGCGATTTCTTACTCCCTCTAATAGCGATTTGATCATTGATAGAATCAGGTATCCTGGAGTTACATGTGGTAAGCTCAATTCTGAAATGCCCCTTAATGCATTGAGTCTGACTGTTACGCCTGATGTCATCAGATGTGCCGTCCGTGAGTTCTGTCACTTGGCAAATGCCACCAACATGGGCATCTACTAAGCATTTGTAGGTCTCATTTCAGTACACCTTCGAGAATAATCCCAACTGGTCTCACTTCTTCTCACCTGGTCCTGAGATCGGTCGCTACTTCCAGAGCGTGGCAGAGAAATACGGCATGAAATCATTGGTCAAGTTTCAACACGCCTTCAAGTCCGCCCGATGGCTTGAAGACGAGGCTCAGTGGGAGGTGACCTTAGTGAACATGACCGACGGCACTGAATTTAAAGATTACTGCAATGTCTTTGTCAAGGCAACAGGCAATCTTAACAAGTGGATGTGGCCCAAGATTGATGGATTGCATACGTTTCGGGGGCCATTAATTCACAGCGCCAACTGGGACGAAAGTTTCGATCCAAAGGCAAAGCGGGTTGCAGTGGTTGGGTACGGGGCTACAGCCGTGCAGCTTGTCCCAGCCATCTTACCCGAGGTGCGGCATATGGATCACTATGTGAGGGGACAGGCTTGGATCTCGCCAGCCGGCTATGTTGCTGCTGATCCGAGAAAGAATACTTCTGACATTCATAACTGTAAGTGTTGGAAATTTGTTGATGTTGACATGGGTGAATTGCTAACACTGAGAGCAGTCCCTTTCCCACCCGAAGAGCAAGAGCGATTTGAGAAGTACCCAGTGGAGTACCTCAACTACCGGCACCAGGTTGAAAACTTCGTCAACAAGTTTCAGCTTGTCCATTGGGTGGGATCAGACATGAACAAAACCTTTTCGAAAGCCACGGAAGACTCGATGTTGCGCAGACTGGCAACGAGACCAGATATATTTGACGCCCTGAAGCCAACATACCCGGTTCTCTGTCGCCGGGTTTCCCCAGGACCAAGATACCTCGAAGCTCTGACAGAGCCCAACCTGAACTTCATTCCCCAAGAAATCAGGAAGGTCACCGAAACTGGGATAGTGGACGATGTAGGAGTTTATAGAGAGGTCGATGCGATCATCTGTGCTACTGGATTCGACACATCATTGTCGCTCAAGGAAACCCCAATCTTTGGCAGAGGCGGAGTATCGCTCGACGACCTGTGGGAAGAAGAGCCCGGAGCTTACATGTCAATGTGTCCTCCGGAAATGCCCAACTGTTTCTTCTTTGTTGGCCCGAATGGCGCTCCTGGTGCGGGGTCAACGATCCAGATGAGTGAGGTAACTTGCGAGTACATGATAAAGTGTATCCTGAAGCTGCAGCGCGAGAACCTGAAGTACATGGTTCCAAAGTGAGTTGTGCCTGCCTTTGAAGCTCAGACAAGAATCGAGGGTATTGACAATTTCGAAACAGAATCTCGGCTGTCAATGCCTTTATGAAGCAAGTTGACAGGTATTTTGAGAAGACCACTTTTGCCTTCACGGTAAGCAAATTTCCTCTTGGAATCAGTCCCGGATATATTAATAACGAACAACCAGTGCAATAATTGGGCCAAGAGAACATCCAATGGCAGGATGTTGGGCTACTGGCCTGGATCTGCTGTTCACCAACGTGCCACATTGATGCATCCTCGGTTTGAGGACTTTGAGTACGTTTCAAATGACGAAGACGAGAGTGATAGTCTTGCATGGATGGGGAACGGGATGACCATGGCACAAGAGATGAATACCTCCACAACTGGATATCTTGATCTGGTGGATAAGCCTCCCGTAATCGGCAAGCCAGCTGTCAGCCTCCCCCGCAACAACCACGAAGATGTGAGGGGTAGGGGTCTAGATAATTTTGTTGAGCCGGCGAAAGTTCAAATCCGTGTGGAAAACTGATGATGATGATGATGATAGACGGGACGGTGATGGTTGCTAGGAGTGCGTTAGTAGCATATAGCACCTCTTCTATCAAGAGCTGAGTACACTGGGTGTTTTCGCAGATCGCTTCATTTATCCATCGTTAGCAATAACTCCATTCCAAGGCAATTTCACCCAAGGGAACGCGGGGAAGAAGTGCCATTGATATGCTTCGTCGTTTACCCGAAGTCCCTTATCGCAGGCTACTGGCCGCAGTAAGTGCGGGGGAGGTCATTCTAACAGGGATATGAGATACTGATGCATGCACCTGATCCACCACTGTGCATCCTTTATCTTACTAGCCAGAACGACGGATAGCCGCGGACAATGATATCCTGCTCTCTTATCACCCCTGTTGGGGAACATCTTCATTTCCAACAACCGCAGCAACTGTCAGAACTCCAGTCAATATGTCTCCATCTCCGTCAATCACCGTGCGGGCCCATACTAAACGAGCACGAGTCGCCTGCATTGCTTGCCAGCAGAAGAAGCAAAAGGTGAGCCTACGTAGTATGGTAACTTCCCGGCGCCTGTCGTGAACTCACAATCTCACTTCTCTAGTGTGACGGCCGGGCACCTTCGTGTGGAAATTGTGTGAAAGGCTCAAGAAGTGAGTTGTGAACACAGCCAGTAACCTTCGGTCTGAACTTGGCTGATGTACAACCAACAGCTTGCATCATCGAAGACCCCTCTACCAAACGACAATATCCTCGAGGATATGTCGAGGCACTGGAGGAGCGCGTGGCTCGTCTCGAAGCATCGCTCTCGGTCGAAGACGGCGACTTTGACAGCATAGACCATGATTTCAACCGCCCACACAAGCACAACCAGCAACCCCAAGAAGTACCTGTTTCCATCGTAGCATCGATCGACGCAAACGTTCAAGATAGGTCCGTACCCAATGGCGTGACGAATGCGTTTCTTTTCTAATGTGTGCTAGCCTGCAGAATGAGTCAGCCAACAACAATGGCGAGACCATGAACGAGCTGAGCGAGGGCCCATCTGTACTAGATCTCCTTTGCCTTCGAGCTGCTGGTGGAGAGCCTCACTACTTCGGGTCCTCCTCCGCATTCTCCTTTACGAAACTATTTACTGCCCGTCTGAGAGGAGCGCAGGTGCGAGGTCCTGGTATGACACTCGGGGGTGTTTCCAATTCCTTCGTCCAAAGTCGACCACGTGCGGTGCCAGCACCCATGCCGGGCAGAGAAGTAGCCCGGATATTAACAAGTTCCTATTTCGACAACGTCCACCCACAGTATCCGTTTCTGCATAGACCGACGTACACCGAATATGAAGATGCTGTCATGACAGCCTGCGAGAACGGGCTTACCCCCGACCCTCTGAAAGCGTTCTTCGTGTTTATGGTCACCGCAGTGGGTGCTCTCGCGGTGCCCTTCGCCGGCGCACCACTCCCGGAGAGTCTCTATACGGCCGCTGAAGATCTCTTCGAACATGTCTTGCAACTCAACAGTCTGGAAACAATACAGGCACTGCTTTGCTGTGCCATGTACTCTCTACGGTCACCCATCGGAGTTTCTATCTGGACGTTGTCGGGGTTAGCCGTCCGCCAGTGTGTTGAGCTGGGGCTTCACCGAGATATTCCATGGTCAAAAGTCGAGTCAAACACACTCAAAACGGAGGTACGACGCCGCGTCTTTTGGTGCTCCTACAACCTGGACAGGGCATGTGCTGTGACCTTGGGACGACCTGTGTCTATTACCGACGAAGACATTGATGTTGCTCTCTTCTTGGACATCGACGACGAGAATATCACGCCAACTGGGTTTCTAGCTCAAGCGCGGACATCAAATTTAGAGTCAGCAACAGTGGTCTCCTCCGCCCTCCATACGATTCGCCTACGACGTATATGGGCGCGCATGCAACGCACCATTTATCGAGAAACACATAGTGTGTCCCCGCATCGTAACTCCTCTTCTACACAAAAGTTCAAAGACGAGCTTCGCGCGTGGATGGACGCCGCCCCAGAGCAACTTGTGGAGGGCTGTGCAGCAAACAACGCATTCGGCAGCCCCGAGTGGTACAAACTCATGTATCACCACTCGATCCTACTTCTCCACAGAAGGCGCTTGGTCGTACGTCAACGGTCATCTCACGATCAAAGCCGTTGGGCAGCGCCTGAGTGCGATGATGCATCGGTGTATCTGGACTGCGCATCTTCCTCACAAGCCATTTGCGAGCTTTATCGCACGCTATACCTCAGTCAACGATTGAATGATACGTGGGGTGCGCTGCACGTCCTATTCCTAGCTGGCTTGACTTACGTCCACTGTCTGTGGAATAGTCCAGAGACACGGAATACCATCCGACGAGACATCGTGTCTTCGACGTGCACTTCTTGCATGATCGTTCTTGCCGTAATGTCGGAGCGATGGGATGCGGTGGCGCCATATCGGGACACATTTGAAGCGTTGTCAAATGCTACACAGGCCATGCTGGTGGACTTGGAGACTGCGTCATGTATGCCAAGTGGGCCTGTGTTGTCGTCTTTACAGGCCGACCAAGTCTCCAATTACTTTGCTGGCATGGCTGATATTGGCATTTGCTCATCTGTCGAGCAGCTTCTGATGGACATGATCACGGTGGAATATTAGCGATTTCTTGTCATCCAGCTATCTTAATTATTTTAGAAGCCGTAGAAAAGGTTGTGTCTTCAAATAAACCCTGTGCATTCAATCTCAACGTCCGTCCCCCTGGCCAAGGCCTTAACACACACACAGGCTCTGGCTGGTCGCGGCTCAGCAAAAAAGGCCATGTAAGCTTCGTTCATGAGTGGAACATCTTCCATGCTTGTAACGTGGATGTTGACTTTCAGGATCTTCTCTGTGCCTGAACCTGCCGCCTCTAACACTTTGCCGAGGTTGGTGAGAGCCTGCGTCTGGAACATGTTGTTAGCATGAATCTCATCTGAATGGAGTGCTCGCTCACAGTTCTATCCGCAATGGTTCCCTCGACAATCGAGTTTGTTTGGGGATTCATGCCGATTGACCCGGAGCAGAAGACGAAGCCGCCATGAACCATAGCCTGCGACAGTGGAGGATAGGGGCCCGGAGCCTCCTCGGTAGTAATTGGCTTTCGCTGGCAACCTGACATTTTTTTGGACTTGTCAGATTTAGATTGAGTATTCGAGGATTATGTTTTATCATTGTCGTTTTCCTTTGATGGCTCCCAGGCGTGATGTGTTCATTAAAGACGCCGGCTTTGCAATACCTCCACCAAAAACGAGTGGCCAGCAGAGAATCGGTACGATCCGACCCGGACATCAAGTCTCACACAAGGAACTGACTCCACACAGCACGCCCCTGGAATGATGTCAGGTGATCCCATGGATGAATGCGTTGGAAAAGTATTGATCTGGTTGAAATAGCCCGATTCAAAGACAGCCACTTGAAGGTCACGCCTTTTAGCATAGGATTGCTACCATATAGGCCATCTCCTCCATTACTAATTACTCCTCTTCAACACACTCGGTTTGCTTCACTGCCCATCATGACGCCCTCATCTCAGACTCAGTGTCAAGCTCTGTTGGCGGAAACCCTCCAGCAGTACGAAACTCGAAATACTAAGTCTTTGGAGTACCACAACGCTGCCTTGGAAAGTCTTCCGGGTGGTAATACCAGAACACTTCTTCATGTTTCCCCATTCCCAATCGTCATGGTGCGGGGAGAGGGATCTAAGCTGATTGATCTCGACGGTCACGAATACTGCGATTTTGTGGGAGAGCTGACCGCCGGACTTTTCGGCCACTCGGAGCCCAAGATCAAGGCATCCATGTCAAATGTCCTATCGAACATCGGCTTAAGTCTCGGAGCCACCAACATCTACGAAAAGCAGTACTCGGAATTGCTATGTGCTCGTTTTAACTTGGAAAGTCTTCGGTTTTCAAATTCAGGCACTGAGGCAAATTTGCACTGCATTGCCGCCGCTCGCAAATTCACTGGGAAACGCAAGATTGTGGTGTTCAGGGGCGGATACCATGGAAGCCTCTTGTCATTCTCTCTCGGGGCTGCGCCGAACAACGTCGACCAGCAAGACTGGATCATCTCTCAATATAACGACATTCAGCAGCTGGCTGAGGCTTTTGAGAACAACAAAGGAGATATCGCTGCGATATTGGTGGAGGGAATGCAAGGCTCTGGAGGCGCGATTCCTGCAACCACTGAGTTCCTTCGCGCGATTAGAGAGCATTCTCGCGCCGCCAACGCACTCTTCATACTCGACGAAGTCATGACATCTCGACTCTATGGCGGTGGCATAGCCTCCACATTCGATCATGACTTGGCTCCGGACATGAAGACGTTCGGGAAGCACCTTGGCGGCGGTATGCCCTTTGGCGCCTTTGGAGGGCGTCGCGATGTTATGGCCGTGTACGACCCACGAATGCAGGGATCTCTTGCCCATTCAGGCACTTTCCAGAACAACACTCTCATGCTCAATGCGGGTTACACTGGCCTGTCCGAAGTATTCAGACGTGAGGTAGCTGACGCATTCCACCAGAGGGGCGAGGCTTTACGTGCGCAGCTGCTAGAGGTATTCCAAGGGGCTCGATTCACAGTGACGGGCCTTGGAACCCTCATGTGTATTCACGCCACCACGAACGGGTTGTCCCGGGATCAGATACAATGCAAGGACGACTGGACAACGGTAGAGGACGGGGATCTGAAGCGGCTATTCTGGTTGGAAATGTTGGAGGCAGGATACTGGATCCACCCGCGCGGTAGTATGGCCTTGAACCTGGCTCTGACTGCAGCGGACATGGATCGGTTTGTTGGGACGGTCCGAGACTTCTGCAAAAGACATCAAGCGATGATAAGAAAGTAGATCTGATAGCTTCATGAATTCTACTTGACGTTTGATGTCTCCTGATTCGGGTCAACCCGTTACCTTTAGCATACCACTGCTGATAGTGTGCCGTCCGGATCGACCCTCAGTAGAAACAACGTGCGGGCACTGAGACCTGATTACGCCTTATCAACTCAGGTGCATATTTATCCCGGCCATATCTATCAGATGACGACAATCAATGCCAGCAGCGATTAGGCAGGATCGACCGCGACCTTATCAATGGACAGCCAAGTACTTGGCGTCGGGGGCACATCCGGGGTGGGGCATCGGCCGCCTTGGTCGGAAATGCGGAACCGCCCGACAGTAGACTGATACCCTCAACAGGCAGTTTGCAACTTCACATTGTTGGGTGATGCAGAGTTTCTGTCTTTGTCTCACGCTGATATAGCTATTCTTGCAGAATTCGAGAAATCGCAGGTGTTTTCCGCGAACAACCGACTCACCGAACCAACCAGCTCTCACTTCTTCGCACTCCGCTATACCCAAACAATAGGGCAATGTCTCATCACGCAGGTGTCAAGCCCATCACGGCCGCACCTGAAGACGCACAAGACGACGTCAAGAAAGCGCCAACATGCGACTACGACGTAGAAACTGCCAGTGAGCGAGTCGGCTACAGTCAAACCACTGATCAGCAAGATGCCACTTTGAACGGCGTCTTTGGCGCTGCTGCTGCCGCTGGTGGCGAACAGTTTCGCGTGTTGGGGAAGTGGAAAACGGGCATCGTGTTGATTCATACCGAGGTTGGAATCGGCATTCTTGCCTTGCCGTCAGTTCTCCAACGCATCGGCCTCATTCCCGGTCTCATCGCAATCCTGGGCATCGGAGCTTTATCCACTTACACGGCATATGTTCTCCTACTATACTGGAAGAGGTACCGCCACATCGATAACCTCCCGGACGCGCTGCAAGTTCTTGGCGGCAAGGTCTTGGCGACTATTGGTGCCGTCGGTCTCATCATCAACCTCAGTCTTGCTTGTGCCTCGGCGTGTTTGGCTATCAGCGTCGCTCTCAACACACTCACAGGACACAGCATGTGCACGGTGTCATTCATTGGATTCGCGGCGTTGATATGTTATGTATTGTGTATTCCAAGGAAAATGAATTTCGTTGCTTATTTCTCATGTAAGTTTTGGCGCTTCTTATCTCCAACATTCAGAGGCTAATCCCATTCACAACTCAGGGCCTGCCACGTTTGGCATATTTGTCCCAATCTTCATAGTTGTTATCGCCTTGGCCGTAGCCTCACCACAACTCGCGCCTCCCGGAGCCGACATCAAAATCAAGTTGTGGGGGAACCCAACTTTCCAAGAAGGATTCACCGCTATTCTCAGCATCTGCTACTCCTTTGGTGGCAGGCAAGGCTTCTTTACTGTCATGGCTGAGATGAAAGACCCAGCGAAGGATTACGTCTCCGCTCTGGTCATTTTGCAGTCTTTTGCCATCCCCATCTATCTCATCACTGGAGGCGCCATTTATGGACTTGCCGGCGACTATGTCACATCCCCTGCCATTGGAACAGCTCCTTTGCTCCCAGCCAAGGTATCGTACGGCATTCTCCTCTCGACTCTTTTCTGCACAGGCCTATTTTACGGTCACGCCGGCATCAAGTATCTCTTTGTGGTAACCATGCGCGACCTGCTCAAGATCCCACACCAAATGACAACCAACACCGTCAAGTCATGGAGCATCTGGGTTCTCCTGGGAACGGGCTTCTGGATCTTGGTTTTCGTACTCGCGAACGCTATTCCCGTCTTCAACTCTATCATTGCTGTGTCATCTGCCTTGCTAGTTGCCTGGTTCTCATTCGGATTGCCTGGAATATTCTGGCTGCATCTCAATTGGAAACAACAATTTTCTAGCAAGCGCATGATCGCGCTGTCCTGTTTGAATTGGGGACTTGTGTTCATGGGCGCGTTCCTCAACACAGCGGGTATGTATGCGTCGGTTGATACGTTGGTGAAGCTGTTCTCGGACCCAGAGAGTACAATCAATGGGCCCTTTTCGTGTGCTGATAATAGCCTGTTTTGAACGGTATCTTGGCTATGGAAGTTTCTCGTCATAAGCAAGGTGGAACACGTGCCTCACCACAGGCCAACGATAGGCTCTGTTATACTGTTGCGTACAATGCAGAGAGACTTTTCCAATTTCGTAGCTCCATCACACTGTTTTCATAAGTTCTCCTTGCCGGTTGAAATAATATTGGGAATAATATCATAGGTCTTCTTTAGATAAGGGTAACCAGACCCTCCGTCATCTTGGGATACTACTTTAACAATAGCCTCATTAGATTTGTCAACATCGCATTGAAGTCTAAGGGATCAATAAAGAAAACGTTGCTTTCACGGACGAGGTATTATGAGGCCTTCCTTGACAACATACCGGATTGCTTGTTACAAAAGCCCTTATTTACTATACCCATAAACCCCGGAGTCCGTCGTTAGAGGTTCCTAGCACGGGGTCCCTTTCCGGCTTAGGAACTGCCCACACCTTCTCATATCCTCCTTGGTGCTCCCCGCCCTTGCAGGAGTCCCAATATCCTCCGCCCTTAGGGTACGCACCGATCATCGTGAACCCCGTGATGCGGTCTTGGGTCTCCTTTAATGCCTTGCCAATGTCCCCTCCCGCAATATGATGTCCATCCCCAGGGGTCAAGAGTGTGAACGAGGCTTCAGGCCTGGTGTTGAATGTTTTATGTGCTGTTCCTGCGGGCAAGACGAATACGTCGCCTTCATGGGCCTCCAACTCAATGCCTCCTGTTTCCCTGTCCTTTCCGCAAGTGTTTTCCTTCATGTCCAGGGAGGTGTCTGCAACGCCAAAGCGGATCGTAGCAGAGCCGGAGAGGACAGCCATACACTCATGAACGCCAGAATGGTAATGAGAGCGTTGCGTCTCGCCGTATCGATAGACCCATTGGACTTCCCAGCCATTGTCATTGAACGTTTGGCAGATTCTGTTGGCCGTCAAGTCATCTTGGGCTGAGAAGTGGCTCGGATAATGCAAAAGTGGATTTGGTGAATTCGGCATGAGTGCCGTCGCCGGCAAATGGTACTTCCGGACCTCGACCATGTTATCGATTATTGAGAACTCATGTGAATGCAAAATGAGGGACTAAGAGTAGCATAGTTGAGCGGCTTTTGGGCCGTGTTTGGGACATCTGTTATCAAGACAATTCAGCCCATGCCGGAGGCCCGCTATACATCACGCGTAATTGTTAAGGTACCCATGATAAAAACCTATACACCAACGGCTCATTCCGAAAAGGTGATGGTAGTTGAGAGCGTGGTTGAGGCCAAATCGGCCTGGGCCGAAATGACGTGTGTGTGATATCCCTTGAGGAAGCACCCGAAAACCGCTACGGTCTCCGCGTGGTGGACTTAGTCGGGAATCTCACAGAGTGACGAGCCACTTCCCTTATTTTTGCTTATTGGTTGCAGATTGATCACGTAGAATTGCTGATTATCTTGGTGACCAGAGTCTCAGCAAGATAGAACCAGCAATGTATGCGACCGTGGTTATGCACTCCTTATCATCCCATGTACCCCTGAATTTGCACCCTCGGCTTAATACCAACAGATCACACCTGGAACATCGGGAAGACAGTCGCACTGTAGATCAAACCATGGCGATGCACACTTCAATATACTAAAAACATCTATGAAAGAAAGCTTCCGTTTGTCTCCTCCAGCACCAAGTCATACTCAGGCTTGAACTGCATGAAGACAACTTCTGGTGTTCCCGATCCCGCTTTTGTGAACCTGGCTGCCTCATCCGTGACATATCGCTTCTGAACACCGTTCGCAGCGGCAGCTTCGGCCAGCAGCTGCGCCTGACATGCTTGCTCTAGGGCGATGAAGAAAGCGGCTGCCTCGTCCACAGTCCCTCCACAGGTAAGGATTCCATGATTCTGAAGAATAACGTTCTTGTGTTTTGGCCCCAACGCCTTCGCAATCCTTACCCCCTCGTCTTGTGCGAGAACAACGCCACCGAAGCCTTTGTAAACAGAGAGGTCATCGTAGAACATGCAACAGTCCTGGTTCAGCATCTCGATAGGCTTCCCAAACGCGGACCACGCCCTGCCGTAAGGTGAATGGCAATGCGCAGCCGCGTTGACGTCTGGCCTGGCCTTGTGAAGCGCCGCGTGAATCATAAAGCCTGCTCGGTTGACTTTGTGGGACGTCTTGGTGAGAGGCTTTCCCTCTTCACTGACGAGGATGAGGTCGCTGACTTTCAGAAGCTTGAAGTGGACGGCGTAGGGGTTGATCCAAAAGCACTTTGGGTTGACAGGGTCGCGCAAGCTGATGTGCCCGCCGGCGCCATCGTTGTAGCCGAATTTTGAGAAGATGCGGAAAGCACCCACGAGATGTTCCTTTGCCCATTGACGTTCGGTGAGAGGATCGGTGAAGGTCGGGATTACGTGCAGTTTGCTGATAAGATCTGGTACGTCATCTGAAGGATGTTGAGGACTTGTGTCGCTCGTGACAATTTCTTGAGGAGGGGCCTGAATGGTAGACTCGACCATTGTGATGGTTGATGTAGGCATATTTGCGTAAGCGTTATGAGCTTGTCTGATAAAAGGTTGGAGATTCCAAACTCGGGTCTTTCATCGAAAGGTCGCTACTAGACACCTCACAATGAAGCCCAGATTGGATTGCTTTAAATCACAGTGTCATGCATGCGTCACTCGGGTGATGCACCAATAAGCCCAAAGACTATTACCGGTGAGGAGATCCTCTATTGTTACCTCCTCACCTTTTTCAGTCCGTTGCGGAGTATGATCACCATAGTCGGGCCAACCCGACCTGATATCAACCATGCCCCTCTTCGCTCGGCCTGGGCCGCATTGTCCGATTGGCTGACCTGCATGCCCTCAGATGGCATCCACCAACATTTCGATACAAGCATCGAGAATAGCTCTCCATATTGCAGTGATATCCTATGCCAAATAATTGGGGGTCTTTGAGCACTAATTTCTGAAATCACTCTGAGCTGAAGTAAAACGCTCAGGGAGACCTTTACTCATTTATACTATCCATCTTGGCCCAAACCATGGAGACCTCCACACCGCAATCTCTAGGCCGCAAGCCCAGAGTTCTATCTATTGCATCTCCTTCTTATGCAGGCGACGATTTCGTGTCCAGGTTCCAATTGGCTTGTGACCTTCATGTAAGTTCAATCCCTGACACGGGGATTCACGAATAGGTACTGATGATAGATCAGATCATCTTGCCTAGTGACAGACAAGGCACTGTTCAAGCAATTTCAGACGCGCGGAACTCCGATGGACCGTTTGATGCCGTCCTGATCGGCATGGGCAATGGCGGTTACGAGAGGTTTGACGAGGGCCTGCTGGGCCCGCTTCTACCAGACCTAAGGATCGTTGCCTCCGTAAACGCCGGTTACAGCGAATTCGACATGGAATGGTTCAACAAAAACAAGATCATCGTAACCAATACAGTTGATGCAGTCGCTGAGCCGACGGCAGATATTGCGATTTTCTTGATGCTTGGAGCTCTAAGGGACACCTCCAGACTCGAAGCTGAGATCCGGAATGGTGGATGGCGTGGTGGGTCAAAGCTCCCCCTCCTGGATCCCAAGGGCCGAACGCTTGGGATCATAGGAATGGGAAAGATCGGAAAGGTATGACACTCCAATCTCTGGTACGAGTGAAAGTACGGGGCTGATCCTTCCTTACCACTCAGCATGTCGCGCGCAAGTCGCAGGTTTTCGGTATGAATGTGCAGTACTACAACCGGACTCGGCTTTCACCCGAAGAAGAAGGCCGCCTCTCTGTTAAGTATGCGGGTAGTCTAGAAGCCCTGCTCAAGACATCTGATGTCGTATCAATCAACTGTCCACTCACTCCCGACACACGAGGTTTGATTGGTTCTGAGGAATTCGCAAAGATGAAGGATGGCGTCATCCTTGTCAACACTGGCCGTGGGGCAGTGGTGGATGAGGCAGCCTTCATTGAAGCGTTGGAGAGCGGCAAGGTTGCCCGGGCTGGCCTCGATGTTTTTGATGGAGAACCCAACGTCAAGTGAGTCACAGCCTGATGCACGAATCCATGGTTTGAACCGAAGTTTTGAAAAGGCAGAACTGACCAGACCTGGCAGCTCATACATCCGAAATAGCACCCGGTGTGTTGTTCAGCCGCACATGGGATCTTGGACTGACGTAGCCTGGGGGAACGCTTATCGGGAGGCCATGGATAACATCACAGCCTTTTTTGCCAACGGGAAAGCTGTTTCACAAGTAAACTCATTTTAGGTCATGCTGGATTTGATTCGGTTGGAAGCGGTCGCGTCTGCCGTCTGAGTGTTCGCCGTCACGGCCGCAGTGTGAGTTGTGTGTGCACCCACATCGATCTAAAGCCCAATAGAAACCATTGAATTTGTCCTTGATAGCCCGCGCGCGTTCAACAAGCTTGACAACTTTGAATATTTCAGAAGGTAACTGGCGGTGGCGCAGGACCTCGTGTGTCACTGCACCAAGCAGATGGCCCCCAGGGTGGTGTGGTGCTGCGTCGTAACTGGCGTGCAAGATTGGCGCTGAGGTCAGATGTTGAAGATCCACAGGAGTCACAGGGGTGGTGTTGCTACGGTTGGATGCATTTGGGGGCGGCCCTAGGCTTCCCGCATGATTAAACCTCAGGCCCTGTCAGTGGAACTGCAAGAGTATCAACAATTGCTGTTGATTGGCTTCTCGTGGCTGCGTAGGGCCGCTCGCGAAGGCAGTGCTGACATGTTGACGCAGAACAGGGGTCCTGTAAGCACTAAACGTTGCCCGCTTCCCGCGGTCCTGGGGCGGCGAAGGATTCGGCCCCCACAGCGCATGTTGACATGGCTGAGGTTAAAAGGCCTTGCATGCCGCTTCATTGTCTCTCTTCGACATACTCTCTGATGTATGTCGTTGAGGCTCACGGTCGGCAGGTCCATGTGAGTATATGAGTCTCGAAGCCCACATGGATGCGTCTCGATGCCAATCCATCTCCTGAACTCTTTGGTACTCGACCTCGTCGATTCTCATCCCCCATTACCTTCTTCATTTCGCCATACAATACGCCAAACGGTCCGCTCTATCGTGGCACCCAATATCGATGGGAATCCGAAATCACAGCAATGCTCTCTCAACATAGCCGACGACATTACCATGGACTGGCGACATATCAGGTCAAAAGATCATATGGCTGGCAACATCTGGCAGCACCTGGCCATAGTTCAGTTCATTGAGATGCGAACCGACACGTCGACAGGCGAGGCAACCAGCTGCCTCATGCAAACTCCGGACTCGATGCTGCCTGAAGTCAGGCAAAGCCAGGCGACCAGGCGACCGACGCTATCGCGAGGCAGATTTCGAGGCGGAGAGTGAGGCGGAAAGTTGGGGCCGGAGGCCTCGCTGAAGTCTCACTGCATGCAGGCAGAAGCGCCCTGAAATCCTTCGGCACCCCTGACGGCGCATCGATTGGGCGACATCAGCTGCGCTGTATCTCAGCACCGCCTGTTCTCCACTTCAACGAGCCCATCAATCCACCTTCGAGCTCTTCTTTTTTCCATTTCCATTTCGTTCATGATGGCTGAGCAGCAGCATACTACGGTATCGTTCCCTTTCTTCGCCCGGCCACAGTTGGTCGTTGAGCAATCAGCGTCATCTCCCCCTGCAAATATCCAGCACCAGTTCCAATCTTCTACGGCGCAAGTGGACTCTTGCCGTCTGCTAGACGCCGGGGCGTGGACATGTCTGAAGTCAGACTTGACATGAGCTTGATGATAGGCATTTACGCGTTTAAGCTGTTATCCAGAAGAAAATCTGCAACTGCTTGTAGTCAGGCAGTTGATCAGACTGAAAGAGGCCCAAAAGGACATCAGAAGAGGAACACGGTAAGGCTCAATGCGAGAAGTCGTCAAGCGTTGTTGCTACCGAAAATTACTCGGTCCGTGCCCCGATCGCCGGACCGGAGCGGTCGCCGGGGCCGGCCGAGCCGGACTGCCTTGAATCACTCCGGGGTTCCACAGCTCTGATTATCCATTGCTCAGTTGACCACTCTCGCTTCTTAAGTCTCCGTTGCCCTGGACCTTCAATAAGGAACAGCAAAGCTATGCACCAAGATGCTGGGCTTGAGGATCAAGTGACCTTACAACATTGGACTTATGGAGGGCGCCTACACTGACCAATGTCTTTGACATCAGCATTATGCAGTCGAATTTCCCTTTGGTACCTGATTTCTGCATATTTCCCCAAACAGAACCTGGACTCTTCGATAGTTGCACCTGTCCTTAATGGTCCTGCGCCCCGGACTCATTAGATCAGCTGCCCAGCGTCCCGTGCCTCGTTCGTCTTGGAATCATGGATGCCCGATCTGACCGGTCTGCTTACTACGGGTACCACCACCAACTTGCGTTTTCGCCGCGATTCAATGTTCGGTGGGCTCGACCTTCGGCATAGGGCGTTTGGAAGGGTGGCAGGCACAAAGAGGGATTCACGGAACATGATTCGATAACACAACCCCATCTCTATATATTACCCCCAGGCATTGAGTTACGAGATAGGTCTTTGGGGACTCAATACATTTTCTTTGGAACACCTATTCGGTCTCTCTTCATTGTAGTGTACTTAAACCTCTTCCAGTGACGTGCTCAAAGCACATATCTAAAGTCCTTGTTCTCGAACTCAGTCTGGTCCCTCATTCCAGCTTCCTTGCTGCTCTCCCTATTGGGCTCGCCGTACTTCTTGTCACGATGGCGATTGACCAGGTACATGTAGACTGGATGAACGTTAGCGGCCGTGGTAAAATAGATGATGGGATCCCTGACGACATACTGAGCAGAGTTAGGTGGCAGACCAACTTGATAGCGTAGCCGACTTGGAGCCCAATCGTAGCTCCTCGGAAGTGCGGGGCCTCCGATTGCTTTACTACGAATGGTCCAGCAAAGTTTCCCCAGCAGTACGCCGTGCTGCAACTTCACGTAAGCCTAGTTCAATAAGACTTCACTCAGGTAGACCCACAAAACCATGGCGCTCGCGAGAGAACGGTGCGTATATCCGGCCATATTGGAGGAGATGGTGGTCAGAGACACTGTGAAGCCAACTGATTGTGAGTTGACCAGCCAGAATGACACAAGTCGACCCCAGGTATTTGTCTCAGGGAGATATGCCATGCAGACAGCCGAGATTGTGCAAAGCAGATTGGCTACCAAGGCTGTAATCAGACGCGCTATTTTCCACATGTAACGTCAGTTACAAGAGACTTGCATGATTTGCAGGAGGGACTCACAGTCCTTCACATTCAAGATGACAGTGCCTCCAATGAGGAGAGCGACGATCTGAACCGCATCACCAACCGACTTCAGCTGCGTTGTCTGTGTTGTGCTGAACCCCATGTCACGGATGATAACAGTAGAAAAGGAGTTGATAACCCCGTTGGGAATCGCGCTGTGCTCTTATCAGTGGGGGATTTGTCTCATGAGGGGGCTGCTACTGACGCTGCAAAAACGGACGTGAACAGCAGCAGAGTCTTTGGGTCGAAAGATCCCAAGAGAGCCTGTTTCTTGTCGAACGCTTTGTTCTTGATGCCAGTCTCGTTCTCAGAGACCCGTTTGACTGCAACAAGTCTTTCGCGGTGGTTCAGGAAGAACGCGTTTGAGGGCGAGTCTGGTAACAGAAACCAGATCACCAGCGACCAGACGCACGTTACTCCGCCCAGCTACCGAGATGTATACGTCAGTCAAATCGAACAGCCTGTAGATACTAAGCACATACCATGAAAAAGATGAGTTCCCAGGGCTCTGGTTTCAGGTCAGCGGGGAGCTTGGACACGCCCATAGAGATGTAAGATCCGATCTCAGCACAGCGTTAGCTGTTGTTACGTTTTCGTTTTCAGTTACGTAGAAAATACTGCAGACTCACGATACCGCCCCAGCCAAGAGACGAGCTAGGCATAATGTCAGCTGATGTATGAGGCTCGGTGTGCTTTGACATGGCACATACTACCATATGCACTGTCGAAGGGGTATCTCTTTGCGCGTATACCAGAATCCCGTCATCAGTGTCAAACCACTGAGCCTATTGTTAGAGACGCACATAGTTCTTCACTTTGTTGGGAATTACCCACGGTGTAACGGCGGCTTCAAATATTCCCATGATGACTACCACGCATATCAGTCTTACGACGCCTAGCTACGGGCAAAGTTGCGCACATCGGACGCCCACTACAAATACGGTGAGTTAGCTCTGATTGAAAAAGACGATTGTGGACTGGCGTACAGGCACTGGAGTAGGTTCGAGTTTGGGTCATGAGAATCACCATCAGACCCCAGAAGAAGATGCTGATTGCCATGACTCTTTGAGCAGGATATCTACCAATCAGCCAGCCGCAAGGATACTGACCGAAGAAATACCCAGCATATACCACTATGATCACATGTTAGCGAGGTTCGCCTCGACTCATGCAAATAGGACTCACTCGCTGAGAGGTAGTTGAACTGTTGGCCCTGAAGACTGAGTGCTGCTTGATACCCAAAGAGGTTGGCATAATTCAAGGACGTCTTATCCATGAATTGAAGAGCTTGTGTCACAAGAAACATGGGTAGGATCGTGAGATCAAGCTTCCATCGAAGTCTTCGCAGCTTTCATTCGAGTTGTCAGAGGCTGGGTCATTTCCGGTTCAAATCAAACTTCACCATGGGAAACGGGGACAAACCTCTTTATCCGAGACCTCCAAGTCTATGGCTTGAAGGTACTCTCTATATCCGACGGCGTTCTCTTGGTGCTCTGCGTCTAACTCCTGAAGTTTAAGATCAGACGAGGGGAGGACTCCCCGGTCGGTATCGCCTACGCCACTCTGTGGCTTGATAGGAGCGTCTGTCATTTCTGCTAGTCTTGACACCAAATCAAGTCGCTTTTCAAACGGAGATTATGGATGCAAAGTGCCTCAGAGTTCTTCGGACTTGGGAGTTGACAGTAAGGCAAGCAGAATGAAGAGGCACGCCTCATGCTTGAAGAAGAGCTCGTAATTACTCTCATGGCACTGGCCCCATGGATAGCTTCTGCGGGGAAGAGATCCCAGGAAGACTGCGGGGAACCGACATCCCGCTCCCGGCGGCATGGAGTGCGGGGGTCAGCACGCTAGGCAGATAGAATTCCTCTACTGGTCACTATTATCAGGATGTGGTGTGGGTGACAAATTTGAGCGAGTGGGGAGAATGCCGCCCGTTGTCATCAACCTGGCCGAGCCGATTTGCCGACAGCAAGAAAAACATCCGCTGGTCAGAAAATACGTCACAGCCACGGTACAATGAGATCTCATTAGACTGGTAATGAGAATCGAAATACAGTCAGTTTAGCATTCAACAACAGCCCCTAAAACGACACAACATGTCTACGGACAAGAAACCAGGGTATCTCGCCAATCCGAGTGGTGAGTGTTGTCTCAAAGGCACAATCCACGAAGGTGAAGCACGTGGGTCCTGGGAAGTGATCGCAGATGTCGAGACTTACGTATCAAAACCGCCTACCGATAAGGCAAACGGCCACGTTGTGCTTTACTTCCCTGATGTCTGGGGTATGTTTGTCAACGGACTCCTGGTCATGGACGCCTTCGCGCATGCCGGGTATCTAGTACTGGGCCTCGATTACTTCCGTGGGGTGAGGACGATTTTTGAAGCACGCCCTGATGACAGGGAGCTGACTATTGCCCAAGGACCCAGTCTGGAAACATCGAAAAAACAGACATGACACCTCGAACCCTGACTTTGACTACGAAGCTTGGAAACGCAAGCACACAGCTTTCGCGGATGTTGCTGTGCCCAAATGGGTCGACGCGGTCAAGCAACGATACGGAACGGAAGCGACAGGGTTCGCCTGCGTAGGCTACTGCTTTGGCGCGCCGTACGTCTGCGATGAGCTGGCAAAGGACGCAGTCATGGTTGGCGCATTTGCGCATCCGGCGTTTCTGAAGGAACATCACTTCCTCAATCTTAAAAGTGAGATTTGGTCCATCCCTTGAAGATTCCCTAAGTCCGCGGCTGGATGAATCTGTGGTTCAAGGTTGCAAGGGAGTATGAGCTGATCTCACTATGTTAGAGCCCCTCTTCATGTCCTGCTCCGAGATTGACCATACGTTCGATGTCCCATCTCGTAGACGAGCGTTAGATATCCTTCAGTCCGAGAAGAAGATCTATCACTATCAACTATTTTCGGGCGTTGAGCACGGGTTCGCTTTGCGCGGTGATCCCAAGGATTCGTACCAACGTGAGTAGCTCTACTGCTTGTAATACGTCTGTACGTATTAAATAACTAATAATTCTCTAGGATGGGTGAAAGAGCAGAGCCTGGACGGGATTGTGAGTTGGTTCAACTATTGGTTGTCTTCTCCATCATCCACAACGTCATAATCCAAGTCGTTCTGGGCGCTTCTGTAGACTTTTGTAATCATGCGAATCTAGACTATAAGGAACGAAGAGACACTTGCATCGCAAGAGTCAACACCGATAGGCCTTACGGCGGTCACCATTGGTCGTGGTCATGTGCGGGAATGCTTACGGTGTACCAAGCTATGGGCAAATCGTTTGAGAGGAACATGACATTAATCAATTGACGTACGTATTGAAGATAGCTGAATAGGACTATGGCTTAAAATGCCTCTCTATCTAGACTGTTGGATGAATGGGGAAGGAACAGGTGCAAGGAATACGTCTTCACGCACCTCCTCAATCGGCAAGCCACCACAAATTGTGCTGGCGCTGGTTCTCCTCCGTCTGAAGTCTGTCAGGTGCGTGAAAGATTCCAGTACCCCGCTTGGTATCCCCGAGCTCCGCTTCCATGTGATGTCATGAAGGTTATCATTTTCCGCCATAGAAAGACAAGCGGAGTGTCACAATTGGCTGCATCGCAAATCAGAAAGCTCTTGGGGTACGCGCCTGGACACGGAGCATCTTCGCAAGAACATCTCGAACCACCGCTGTTCACATGTAACAGCTGACAGCAATTGAACCAAATTCTCCTGAAAGACAATTGAAGACTACGCAAGCCGCCAGTATGGTTCCTCCTCGAGCTTTCGACTTCGCAGGGGATGTGGCGATCGTCACAGGCGCAGGCTCACGAATGGATGGTCTGTTCGCATAGTTCACCAACGCGGTCAATTCAGTCTACAGCACACTAACATACTTCAGGTGAAATTGGAAACGGTCGAGCTGCAGCAATCCTCCTTGCCAGGCACGGAGCGAAGGTTGCGTTGCTTGACTTGAATGAGGACTGGGCTAGAGAGACCAAACGAATGATAGACGAGGAAGGTGGGACGTCTGAAATCATCCAGACGGATGTCAGCAAAGAGGACTCTTGCAGAGATGCGGTTTCCAAGACGGTTGAGCTATTTGGTGCCGTTCATATACTGGTCAATAACGGTAAGTGAACTTTCTTGAAAGCATACAGATCGTGAATGACAAATCTGACTTCATGGACAGTTGGCGTAGGAGGCGCTATCGGAAATGCCACGAACATTAACCTCGAGGCATGGGACAGAGACTTTCGGATCAACGTGACGAGCATGATCATGATGTCGCGCTACGCGATTCCCGAGATGAGAAAGCAAGGGCGAGGTTCCATCATTAACATCTCTTCTGTCAGTGGCTGTAAGTTCAGGTGGCTTATGTTCTAGATCGAGACATCGCATTGTGACATTCCCCAGATTCTCTAAATGAAGGATTGCTGATCTGGTTTAGTGCTCGGGGGTAACCCCAGTCTGCTCTACCCTACTACCAAAGGTGCTATCATTCAAATGACCAGAGCCATGGCTGCTCAACACGGCTCGGAGAATATTCGGGTCAACTGTATTGCTCCGGGCATGGTTTACACACCCATGGTCCGAGGTCGTGGCATGACCGAGGAAACAAGACAAGCTCGGATCGACCAGAACTTGATGAAGAAAGAAGGTACGGCTTGGGATATTGGGTACGGTGAGTATTTGTCGACAGCTGATGCAGCTCTGCTCGGAATGAAATAAGATCGGCTGATAAGGAACGTGTAGCCATTTTGTTCCTGGCCAGCAAAGAGGCAGGTTGGATCACAGGACTAATTATGCCTGTTGACGGAGGTGTATGTCTGCTTCTCCCAGTGGCATCTCTATCAGCATATGATGGGCTGACAGATTTCAGACTACCGCTGGCAGATCAGATAGACCGGCTCTCCAGGCTGATGGTCTAGCGGCTGAGAACACGGGTATTGAAAAGTAAAGAACCAGTGGACAACAAAGACTGAGGAACTAAAACTACAGTTTTAGGAGGACTCAGGTTCCAACTCTACAGTTTGAGTAGCTGATTCGAGCCAATACTGTGAAATAACTTAAGACTTATAAGCTTCGGGAGACTTTAAAAGTGTTTTTGAGAATAAATCCAAGTGATTAAGGGCGATTTGGAGAATTGTTTTTGTTCAGCGAAGCTGTGTCGTACCTGTCGCCTCCCGGATTAAAAAGCCCCTAGATGACGGGTAAAGCTCTGATTTTTCTAATTATATTTCCCAGAAACCTTGAACCTTAGACTACCTAGTCCTAGGAACGTAAAATAAACATGACTTTATGAATCCTGGACAATCACCCAAGTCATATGCGGAAGATTTGACCAGTCCTATATTTGTAACGAACTCTACACCTCCGCTGCATGCTGTCTGCATTAGATCCACACAGCCGCTGACTGACAGTGGTCATTGATTGTTGCCTTCCATTCGTCAGAAATCTCCCAGACGGACAATTAGGCTGTTAATCAAGGGTCACAAATCAAAGGTCACAATCGTGCGAGAGCAGTTTCGCAGTGTGTGCCGGCGAAGTCCGCATGCATGCATGACTCAGCGCCCTTGTTGTGGCGAATGTCTTTTTCTCGGCTTCGGTTTCTGAGATGCGCCCCTGAAGCCTCATACAGGGGCGCTGACTATCCGCATGGTGTTTGAACAGGAAGGGGCTCGAATTATGCACTACGATACCCCCGAGCCCGATTCATTGACGGGCGTGACGGGCTCATGAAAGGAGTTCGCTAAAGATATCCTACAACATGCATTTATCGTAGACCATGATGAAAAGTTCGCCCTAGCCTGTGATCTCAAGACCGGAGACTTTCACTCACAAATGGGGACAACTGACAATATCTCGGGGCATCCGAAGTCTAATTCGGGTAGCATCTTATCAGTATGGGGCGAGTGCGATCAACCAGGGGCACGAGTCGCCAGAGTAGCCTCTGTGCGCGTATGAGAAACTTCATACGATCATCTACTGGTTGATACGATAAGTCTTGCATTCGAGCTGACTAACAATGAGAGGGTTCATACAAGTCGTATATATATATAAAGCTCAACGGACAGCCTCACAGCAGCCCTGTCTGAGATAAGCGCCACCATCGGAATTGCGACTTCAACAAAACCTCCGCACCAACATTCTCATAGCCCCAATCGCAGAAATGGTGTCTTTCACTACCATCGTGGTAGCTATGTAAGTGAACACTGTTTCACTCTGCAGATATGTTCAATAAGTAATCAGAATGGCGGCTACCACCGCGATGGCCCAATTTCCTGCACCCGGCGAGGAAGTAGATTGTGACTGCACAGACCTCAAAGACGGCGAAGTTGTTCCGGATGATGACGGCGTAAGGAGAGGCTGCGCCAACCGTGGATATCTCGTCACTCGAGACGGCGGTGACCTCAAGGTGAATATCTAAACTCGTCTCCTCTGAGAAAACGATGCTGACTACTGTCTTTACAGTGTGTCATCGTAGAAGATGGCACAGAGCATCACGACCGAGCCCGCGAATTTGTAAACAACTGCTCCTTGCACGGAACTTGCGGTTATGTTGGCCAGTGAACCGACTCAAGCGTGGGAGCACCAGA